ATGTATAAATAAATAGCCAGAATGAAAAAATATTGTTCATTTTGAACCAAGTCTTCATATATTTGTTTTTATATCATTCTAAAAAGTCTTTTATCAATAAAGTTATCTTATGTATATATAAATATATAGTTATCTTATGTGAATATAAATATATGTTTATTTTTTATTTTTATCTGATGTAGTCTTTGTTTTATCCTATAACTTGATCATTTATCTTAATTTTTATTTGAAAAATCATCGTATAGAACAAAAATGTCATTATTATATCTAGATGAGTATTGGAAGACAAAATAAATTGTTCAAAAAAAGATTCTGAGGAATCAATGGTTTAAAAGTTATAATAGGGATAATAGTCTGTCTCTAACATTAATTTCTGTCACAAAAGCTTAACGAACGATCTTATCACCCTTTTATCCCTTTGGGTCTCTACCATTTGTAGTTTTCATTTTGATGTGCATAAAATTCTTGTGTGATAGTTGTTTTCCACTGCAAGCTTATTATACTTTCTATAAATGTCAGTTGCATAAAAAAGCGATTGCATGTAGAGTAATGGATGAGACTGTTTTAAGCCACTAGTTTTACTTTCTATAAGGTATAAGTATAAAAGATTCTTGTGAATTCAACATTGCCCTAATCTAAAAGTTTATGGTTTATCCTATTGTTTATGCTCACACTGAAACTATAGTGGCAGTCTTTGTTATCATCACTATCATTATTCCAATTAACTCAAACAAACCAAATACTAATTTTTTCAGAAGGAACACAAAAAATTAAAAGATTTTATCTTGAGATGACCTAAGTGGCATTCGTTTCATTCTGAGTTCAAACCTTGCTTGCAACTGTGACAGTGGTGAATAAAAAGTTTATGGTACTTGACAATTCAGATATTTAAATTTAGTTTCATTTGATAAACTTTATTCTTGGAATATATGAGTTCATGTTTACTTCACTTAATATCCAATTTTAATGCTAAACTGTGTGGGACTAAAAATTAAAAATTTTTTACCGAAATTTTAATTTCAGAATTGAGTTTAAAATATTTTTATTATTAATTTAAAGAATTATATTATTAACAAATGAAAAATAAGTATTAGTGTGACTTCTTAAAAAATTCTTATAAAAACCTCAGATCATATATGGTAGTTTAAAATTAAGTAATACAATGCAAATTTGTTTTATGCGACTATTTTTTTCTTAATAATTCCGAACCAAATAAAAAATATAATGTGAATTACTTAATATGAAATATGCAATTCTTTGCAAAGAGTTAGACTAATTGACTATCATTTAATAAATTAGAAAATGATGTGCAAGGCTCTTTGGAACCAACCTACACCAAAGCAACAATGCAATGTGATAACTATTTATAATTAATAAAGTATTAAATAAAATTAAAGCAAAGCTTTTGAATTTATAATTATTTTTAGGCGCTTTAGAAAAAAAAGTATTAGGATTGATTTTCAATGGATTCTTCCTTCCCAACCAAAATTTAGTTATTAGATCATTAATTAATTGCCCAAATTAGTGATTAAATGATATGCATAGAAAAGCTGGATGCAATAAATATCTAAAATTGGGCCATGTTGGACCATAAAAAAGTGGGCCAGAAGAGTTTGATGAAAGGTTTTGTTCCTATCATAAGATATCATGTGGATAACGCTATCAGAATTGGATCAGTCATTCGATGAAGTGCCAAATCCAACATAACATAATCATCCAAGTGGATACTTTACCTTCCACAAGTTTTGAGAAATATTTAAATTTATTCATTTTAATATTATTTATGCTTTCATAATTTTTTTTTCAAATTTGCATCAATATTGATATTTACAGAAGATGATGATAACAATAATACTAATACTAATACTAATAATAATAATATAACTTAATAGATTGATATTATTTTAGGAAAAATCATTTGGTGACAATTATTATTCCTAGCATGTGTAAGTTATACGTTATAGATGTTGTTCTTCACAAGCCAAAAAATTTATAAACATTTTAGTTTATTCATTTATTCATTTGACGTTAATTTTGTGTGAATTACTTAAATCCCGACTTGAATCGGATAAGTTCAAGCATAATTCTTATCTAAAAATAAGTTATACCAAATCAAAACCTGCCAAGGAATTTTATTTTTTCAAAAATTACTAATTTCCCTTTTCAAGGGTCTTAATTTGTTTAGATTTTATTTATTTATTTATTTATTATTATGATAGTTATGAAATAGAATATTATTAGATATTTTTTGTGAGCTCAGCCATGTGGTTTGGTGCTTTGAATTGAAGTTCTTCTTTCAATCATAAAGAAACAGGCAGGTTCGGATCATGCACACAAAAGAGGATATGGTTAGATTTCCTATATCTATTCATTGGGAAAAAAATATATCATCTTATTCACTTAATTCCATAATGGAAAGAAAATGTATATATTAGTGTTACATATGACATTTGATAGATGGTGACTTTGAAACTGTAATATTTTAAATAAGATAAAGAATAGTTTTTAAGATAAAAATTAATAAAAAATGAAAGTATTAAATGTCCAGTATATAATAATATTAGTTTATCGTAGTTTAGAGTCACACCTTACATTTCATAATGATGTGATATGTGATTATTAACATTTGTATGTATAATAATAGGATAACAATGGTTATACATTACAATATTTTGTTTATAAATAAGAAGAAGTAATATTTTGCTTAATAAAACTCAGTCTTATGTGTTTTGCTGTATGTTATAACGTTTCGATAAAAACAGACTGACTTTTAAATAAATAATTAGTATATTATATTAAAAGTTTGGTGCTGTATATTTTATATTTTAGAAACTTCAAATCTTTTATATATATCTATATCATTATGTACTTTCTTATTATGATAGCATTTTTCTGGGCGTTACTTTCTATATATTATAGCCTTAGTAGAACAGTAGACAACTGCATCTTTCGATTATGTTTGATAGAAATAATTAATAATTTAATTGAAAGTTGAAAATTCAATTTTTTTAGTTAAAAACAATAAACCTAATTATATGTAAATGTTTGGTAAAAGAAATTATAAAATTGGTTGCCAAAACAAATCTTATATATATATATATATATATATATATATATATCTTATACACATCTTATATATATATATATATATTTTAATCTTTTACCTACATATATTATATTTTTGTGTACTTTCTAATTGTTTGGCTTATCATGAAATTAATTTGCATATCCAAGGTATTTTGCAAAATTAATATATGTTTTGGTTTTATGAATTTTTATTTGGTATTTTAATTTAAAATGCATACAATTATAACTTTTTTTAAGTGTTTGATAGTGAAGAAAGAAAAATATATCATTTTAATATTAAATATTTAATAATATTATATTTCTTTTACAAGGTTTTTATTATTTTATATTAATTAATTAATACTGAAACAGTAAAAGAAATTACTAGTAATGTATATTCGTAGAGATGAAACAACAATTTTATATTCATTGAATTTATATTAGGAATGAGAGAGAAATTTTTTTAAAAAAATTGATGTGCAATAATGAAACGGTCTCGTTGTCATTTAAGCAAACATTTTTTTTTAATAAAGGCGTTAAAGGGTAATTTTATTAAAATAAGCAGTCTAATATTAAATGAAACAATTGAAAAAGAAAATTCATTTAAAGCACCGTGGGAAAAATGCGATAAAAAGTATAATGGATAAAAAGGAAATAAAATAATAATAATAACTTATGAAGTGACGCGCGAACTAATAATAAAATTGAAAAGTTATAAGATAATAATGAGTTGATAAAGTGATAAAGATCACTCACCCAAAAAAAAAAAATCCCATGCCAATATGTTTAGAATTCCTAATACCAACCGCTACAACTTTTTCTATATTTTGATTTGTTTCCTAAGAAGATTTTCGCCAAGGCACGGATCCACCTCCTACTTAATCCACCTTCCAAAATATGAATTACAAAACCCAAGAGTTGCCGACTTAGCAGTTGCAAGGATTCTTATTTCTAGTACATCATCATAAAGTCTTATATTCTATATTCTATCATTATGTAAACTGATCATGCATTTATTCCATTGTTTAACAATAAACTTTAATCTATTATGATCTTCATAACATCACCAAATCATTTCTTGGAACCTACGTTACCACATGATGATACAAATCAAACAATTTTAGTATTTGAGACTAAATCTTTAAAAGTTATGTAAAATATAACAATATGAGATAGTAAAAAAATTGTTAAATCAACATTACAAATTTATAATTAAAGATTTCATTCTAATTTTTAAATAGGACAAATTGTACTTACACAATTTTAATACCCAAAAGTTTGTACAATAAAGAGAAATGAAAAAGAAAAAGGCAAAAGATTATAGGATGGGATGACATGATAAAAAAAAAAAGAGAAGGAAAAACTGTATATCATTAAAGTAACTTGAAATATAGCTTTTAATTGTTGAAATAATCAAGAAATTTATCATATATGAAAAGAACTGATTATATAATAAAAATCATATAAGTGATTATAGTGAGTACATTGTTATTAAATTTTACACTAATTCATACAAAACTTTTATAAAATGAATAACATGTCTTCAGATAATTGGTAGTTTAACAAAGACTTTTTTAAACAATATGATATTATTGGTGTAATGGTCTAAATTGATTTGTTGAATAGCACGAGTGACCAATCACTCGACCATGGATTGCTATGATTAGTTTAACCAAAAATGTAGTTGGGAAATTATTTTTCTTCAAAAGCACGCTCTCGCTTCCACGGGGAGCATGTTAGTAGGTCCCACGCAAATACCATGAGAGAAAGATACTCTTCGAAGAACAACCACCACATGGGGCAACCCGACCCCATGTTCTCGTTCTCTTATTTACTTGTTTTCTTCTATTTACAAGTTCTGTTGTCCACTTATGATAACTCCAATCGAACTTTCTCGTATAATTTTGTATTATCCCCAGATACACAAGTACAGCTACATCCCAGAAACAAAGCAATAAATAAACAATATGTACAATTAGAGTTTTCCTGGCACTTTCATTTCTAATCTAGCTAAGATCCAAGTTTAACATAACCCAAGCTCCATAATCATTGTATCATCATGGCTACCCAATCTAACTAGCATCTCAAGCAATCATATATTTTAGACTTTTGCTTCCAATAATAAAATAAAACCAGCAAGTTTCCTATTGTTTAGCCTAAGAGATGATCAAAATAATTATACATGACATATTTAATTATATTATACCCTAGATATATATCAAGATCATATGTGCAAAGTTAACCCTTCCTATCATTATCTTGACTCTATCGAGAGAGAGTAAAACAGTATTAGGGTTGCTCTCTCTCCAGACTTACGTGTGTGTTTGTGTTGCAGTGTCCAAGAAACTTCAAAATTCAAGGTGCTTGAGTAGGTCAAAGGCAGCCTTTGGACCCCTAGAAATCATGAATTCAGAAGTGGCCCATAACCTTGTGGCTTCCGCTAGGTTGGATCCCAATTTTGAGGTTGAAGTTTCGTTACAGTCAGCAAAGTATTTGCCGGAGACATCGGACAGCCTCGGATGAGTTGCCACATAACATGTTGTGGCAGCTGCCTACATTTTTATTCGCGTTGCAAGAAATCAGCACAAGAGAGTTAAAGACGATGACAAAAAACATACTTGTATTCAAGAATTAAACTACTTAATAATTTACATTTTCAATTGTCGTTAGAAAAACATCTCATTAGGAAGGACAGAGACGATAGGCAATAATGAGTCATGATGCATGCGTACACTATTTTGAATTACCTGAGGAATGGTCTTTAGGAGCTTGGAAGCCAAAAAGAACACTAAATCTGCAAATTTATTTTAGAACATGAAAGGGAAAATGCAAAAATCAATGAACATCGTCATACAAAAAATAGAAGCTAAATCCATCACCCGTAAAAAAGAAAAAGGGAAAAAAAAAACAGCAAAGCAAGATTGGATTGTTTGTTTGGTTCCAACCTGTGAGTAAACCCTCACGCTCCCTAGTGAGTCTGGTTCTCACAATCCCAGGATGAACACAGTTAACAGTCACGTTGGCCCCCGTTTGCTGCAGAAATCATTTAATTTATTAATATTATACTGTGTCAAACAAATAAAATATGTTATAAACCAATCAAGAAGCAAGAACGGGGTTAAACGAATCCAATTCCTGGGAAAAACATGATTACTGAGTAGGGAAACAAACAAATGTGACTTTTTTAGATGGATAGGATCATAGACAGATATTGCATTGCATGTGAATTAATATATTAAATGCGGAATGATTATGAACATAGCAAGTGTGTGTTCTACCTGGAGTCTACGTGCAAGCTCCTTAGTGTGGAAAACGTTGGCGAGCTTGGAAAGAGCATAAGCACGTGTGGCGTCGTAATGGCTGGGGGACACGAGACAAATTTCAGTCCAAAGATGCGCGCAGTGTTTCACAAACACGTATACATCACGTTCACATCATTTCAACTTAGATTGACTATTTTTTTTTTAATTTCAAAAAACACTGTATTGTTAGCAAGAAACTAAAAATGATTGTCACAACTCACAACAACACACTCGTGTTGTTGTTGTTATTGCCACCTTTTGTTACGGCTTATAAGAGCCAGATACGAAACAGCATCGCCGGAAAACCACCCGTGGATGCTGGACGACACGTTCACTATCCGACCCTGCACTCCCGTCTCCTTCGCCGTTTCAGCCATCGTCTTCAGCAACAACTTTGTCAACAAAAAATGACCTAACAAAAGCATTTCCTTAACTCATTAATTAATTAATCTTACATTACTGCAATTAATTATTTCTTAATTAATCACACGAGTACTTTTTACTTTAATTAATCGTTAATTTAGTTAATTTCTCACCTAGGTAATTAGTGGCGAAGGTCATTTCAACTCCGTCTTCCGATACAGCGTGTTCATGAGCAAACTTTCCGGCGTTGTTTCTAATATTCATCAAAATTCACGGATGAGAATCCTGGTAATAATCTCGATTTTTTTTTCTTTCTTTTGAGGTTAGAAAAAAATGGAAATAAAATAATTGAAGCATGATACGATTATTGTTTCACATACATGAGAAGATGGAGAGGCAAACCGAGAGTGTGGAACTGATTTACGAAGCTTCTAACCGAATTGAGAGAGCTTAGCTCAAGAGCCATAACAATGATCTCCGAATCAGGACACTCTGATAATATACGCGCTTTTGCGTCTTCGGCAGCTTTCAAGCTACGCGCCGGCAGAATCAGCCTCGCTCCACGTTTCGCTAACACACGCGCCGTTTCAGCTCCGATTCCAGACGTAGCACCTGATAATAACATCGTATATAATTTTCATAAACACTTCGAGAATATATTAATAATTAAAAGTAGTTGTGAAAATAATTTACCGGTGATGATGGCGGTGAGGCAGCGGAGATCGGCGCGGTTTTCCGTGACTTGTTCGGCGGTGGATTTGGAGCCGAAGCCGCTTGGACCGGCGGAGCCGAGAAGGTATCTAAGAGTGTCGATCATGTTTAGTATTGAGAAATGAAGTATATGTAGGGCGTGTGGTTGGATTTGGAGTGAATGTTTGAGTGGACGTTACTCTTGTCTTGACTGAGCGAGCGAAGAGTTTTCGTATAATATTGGGAAATTAAATAAAATTCTTGTTGTGATTCTTCTTATTATTCTGGTTGTGGCTGTTTTTCTGATGACAGAGAAAAAGGAGGGGTTCAGGACTTGACTTTGGGTTGTACTGTAAAAAAAGGTGTTACTCTTTTTCACTGTCAGGTTTTGCAGATGCTGCTACTGCAATATACAGCTCTGCATTAATGTCAATGAAAGGCTGTGAGAGAGAAAGAGAGAAACGACACAGGTTTGGCGTACGTGGTGAGGAAAATAAAAAGAAAGAAAAGTGAGAGGGGAATGATAAAGAGGAAAGGAAAAGAGGCGTGAGCGTGATATTGATACTGTCACAAACAGATTGGTTAAAGAGTATACAGCACAAACGAAAAAGAATATATATATATATAAATATATTTATTTATTACTCACAGTTGAAGGTAGACTACAGAAAGAGGGAAAACTTGGGAAGAAAAAAAAAGGAAAAAGAAACACAAAGTACTACATACAGACTACACATTTTTCACGCATGTATTATATACAATAAAAATAGTATACCTTATTTCTCTTAATCTAAATGTTATATATAATGTGACTTTATAGTAATAATAATAATCTAAGTTCAGAGTAAATAATTATATTTTACAACATTGTTTTACCACTAATTAATCAATCAAACTGCTCGATTGTTTAATCAAATAGTTTGATTGTTTGGTTCTGGTAGTGTTTATTCATGTTTTATTTATAATTTAAATTTAATTTATGACTGATGAATCAATCATATAATAAAATATATTTTTATATAAATAAAAATGAGAATAATTACATTTTTTATGGAATCAATGTGTGTGCCAGGGAAAGACACCGATGAGATATAGTGCTTTTTATTTCTTGGCACTACTCGTCACCATGGCTAATCTGGTTATCATTATACCCATCTTTTAAGAACCAAAGTCATACCCGTACACTCTTTATTATTCAATAAATTATATATTTTAAGAGAGAAATATAAAACTTAAAAAGTGATCATGTATGCAAAGATAAAGCGAAAAATAAGTTAGAAAAAAAATTATTATAAAAACTATAGTTACACTTTAATTATACCAAATCTTAACTGGTGTCTTATACTACAGAGTATGAAACTAAAAGAACTTTTCTTTATTAAGATAGAAGAAATGCCCTGTTTTGTGAAATTTTTATGTATATTTTAATACTTTCTTTTAAGGTTTAATTTTTCAATGAGTTCCTATTTTTGTTCAGAATTTGAAATAGGTCCTTTTATTTTTTGGCGTCTCAATTGGGTCCTTATTTTTGTTAATTTGATGCAAATAAATCCTTCCGTCAATTTCATCAAACGGCGTTAATGAATGTGTGACGTGGCCTGAGGACAGTATTGACACGTGTAAGGCCACGTCACACATTCATTAACGCCGTTTGATGAAATTGACGTAAATGATTTATTTGCATCAAATTAACAAAAATAAGGATCCAATTGAGACGCCAAAAAATAAAGAGACCTATTTCAAATTCTAAACAAAAATAGGTACCTATTGAGACATTAAACTTTCTTTTAATATGTACTTTAAGACATTCATTAATCAAACTCGTCTTTAACATAATTATAAAAAAGATTAAATATATTTCTCATCATAAATTATTCACTAAGATTATCTTATTATTTATCTATCAATGTACATATTTTTCACTTAAACCAAAATTTTTCTTTTATGATTTCAGAGTCTCATCATCCATGTTGTTTTTCTTCCTTTTTATTTTCATTCTTCTCACTAAAATTTACAAAAGTGTAAATATAAAATGAAAAAATAGTTTAAAATAATACAATTTAATAAATAGTATAAGGACAAAAGTAATATAAGAAAATTATTATGAATGTGATTAAATATAATGTTTCAACATTTTTTAATTAATCTTGCATATTTATTTATTTACTCTAATATTTTTATTCTTTCTAAAAAAAATCTATGTTCTTAAAGCTCACCCTTATCTAGGGGCATCTTTCTCTCTCACATCGTGAGTGATGATGTGTGTGAAGAGAGAGATAGGATCCCATTGACTTCTCTTTCACACAATGCACAATGCATGTTAAATCAATGCACTCACCTTTTTACACCATCATTCATTGCTTCTCTTTCACACAGGAATCCAATTTTTTTCCGATCAATGCAATTTTTTACATCATACAAAAACTTGTATAATCTTAAAGTTTATCAAATGATGTCGAAAAGTAAATATTTTCTTTATTTTAAAAAATAAAAATACTAGTTATGTAAAATATAAAAAATATTCTATGCTATTAATGATAAGAGTGTTTTTAATTTTTCTTTTACAACTTTGTAACATCTCAAAAATACGGTATAACACCATATCATAGAATACTCACAATTTACAATATTACAGTTTAGTTTTGAGAGAAAAGATGTATGTTTATGGCCGAACAACCTTACAACCATACTCTAGAATTTAAACTTTACAAAATGAAAGCCTAAACCAAACGGTTCCAAAACTAAGCTTACACCGACGGTCCTATGGTTCAGCTTTAACTTCCACTTCTTCCAAAGCCTCTTCCGGTAAACACTCGTCCCCTTTTGCTCACATGCATAGGATGATCATTGCAACAGGAAGATAATCGGACGGACAACATGACAAGATAGGAAAGTATGGTAAGCTTATGTAATTTAATTAATTCAGTAAAACATATAATTCACATAAATCTGATATAAACCGATAGGTCAATCATGAAACAACCAATCATACATTTCCAACCATAACCATACAACAATGCATGCAATGACCGACCACTTTACTCTGATTATCCAGACTGTATGAATTTTGTGTAGCTACGACGTTTGTGCACCCGAGTGATGTAGTAGCTGGGATGCCCTCAACAACTGCCACCCGAGGTTAGTCCGTTCTGCCCAAGTTCACCTTATGCATTAGGACCTTCTGCCATTCTCACACATGCTTACTCCTCTCTACTTGAGAATGAGTAATCACATAATATCAGGATAAACGTCAACTAAGCATAACCACATTCATACTCTACCATTCCAATATCCAACCATGAGATATTCCTCCTTGGAATACTCTTTCATATCCATACATTTCAATTCATATCACATTTTAAATACCATCATACTTCATCATAAATACATTCAAACTAAACCCAGAAAACAATATCCCATCCTAGAACAGAACTGAAAGAAATAACCTCCATCTTAGAAGCAAGACCGAACAAGAGAATACTTTTTAGACTACCATAACCGAACACTTAGTGTAAAATCGAGCGGTCTTTCACTTATCCACAGAACAAGACTGAACGGTCCATACTAGGTAAGACTCGTCAGAAGCCGAACACTTATGGTAATACAGAATGTTTACTAGATACTCAACAGTTATGACCGAACGATCTTTATTAGACAGAACCCAAAGAATTTATTTAGTCCTATAATTAGACCTAACCAAAAATCTGAAAGCTTTTAACCGAAACCTAAGAGCTTAAACCGAACATTACAAGCTTTGACCGAACACTATTGAGTTGGGCCGAACACTCTTAATTTCAAAAATAGTACATAATTGAGTATTATGACGAGACCGGGCACTACTGAGACCAAGTGCTTGGTTCAACACCAAGCACTACTGAGCTTATACAAAATGAAAAAATATATTCTAAATACAATTACCTAACATTTATTTTCAACAAAGGATAAATATAATATCTAAGACTTAAGTATTATTGAATACCTTAACTAGACTGATTACGAAGTATAAATAGGAAAATATACGTAGACATAACGCTTATTTACAAGTATACTAATAGAAAAATCGATCGGTCATTAATTGAAATTCTCTACAGAAGAAGAATCCAGTCTCGACTGAATGCCCAAAGGAAAAATCAAACGGTCAAGAATGACTCTCGGTGACAATTACAGAATTGCATAGAATACTGCATATTTTAAGATCAAACCCTATTCCTACCCAGTTCACACCATTTATAAAACATCGTTGCATACCAACGAACATACATTAACATGGATAGTTCAGATCAATCAAATAACTATACAGATCATCATTCAAACATGCAACCATTCATCATCAGAGAATCATAATTAAATTACAAGCTTCTCTTACCTCTAAACTCAGCCAAACGCTCACGGTTGCAGTATTTGGTTCACCACTAATAATCTTATACACTTAGAGTTCCCCGATTACGAAACTAGACCAAATAAAAGACCAGAATTGCTATCAGAATTTTATAGAAGAAGATGATAATCTCATGCAACCAGAATATGGGGTTGCATGTGACAGAAACAATCGTGTTAACCAGTTCAAACCAACAACTTGATTGGTGCAACTTGAAACCCTTAACTCCAGGAAGACTCAGGCGATGCCTGAATGATGATCGGAAGAAGAAAATGATAAGATTTTGTAGAGAAAAGAAGAAGATTGTAGAGAGAAGGAGGAGAAAATGAAAAACTCAAAAGGTTAAAAATGAAGGATGCATGCAAAAAAGTGACACGAAAATTTGAAAACTTAACTTATTTACTACCGTCAAAACCGATCGTCCACTCTGTAGTCTAGACCTATCTTCTTCTGAATTTCATAAACTCTTGCACCTACCCTATGTTCCACTAACACGGGGTTTTAAGAGTCTGACTCGAAAAAAATACCATTCTTTATTTATTTTGTTATTCGTTACTTTTTTTTAAGTATAAATACTATAATATCTACCTCAATATATTTATAAATGAATATTAAAAATATTTACTTACTTACAAGTAATAAATATTTATAAATATTATGTATTTTTATCATATAATAATATTTGATTATAAAAATTGAGTTATTTTCACTACATAATTATACTTGAAATCAGTTTTTATTCTGATTTATAAAATATTTAATAAAAATACATAAGAGTAAGAATGTATGTAGATAGAAAGGAAGAACGAAAGAGCAAAGGACGTGAGTAATGGATGTTGTCGGTTGATTAATAAAATAAAACATAGTAAATGCAAGGAATTGGGAAGAGAGATAAACAATGCACAAGAATCTAAGTAAGTACGTCAAATAATTTATATTACACCCTTGCTTCCTTTTTTTTTTCCTAAGGATTATTTTATAGAAACTAAAAGTATAATATTTTGTATTAGAATAAAATAATTAAACAACTTTTTATTGTACTCATTTTTTTCTTTTTTCTCTAATACATAATGTGTATATAAATTATTTAATGTAAGGTGTGAAAGTAGATTATAACAAACATCTCTCTATTTTTTGTGGTTTCATTCCATTATATTATTATTTGTTAGGATTTCTTGAAAAACATTATTCAAATATACAGACCTTATATATATTCTCATAATTTTCAAGTTAAAAGAATAATTTTTTATTTATGTCATGTAAGGTTTTATTTTTTTATGTTACGCCAGTATAAAACACTTGGGAAGTTTTACAACATTTAAATCTTAATCTTATGACTTATATACATGATTTCTCAAAAAAAGATTTTAAGGTGGTGAGCAATTAAAAAATATTATAAATTTTGCAGTTGTAATGTATTATAATGTGAAAATTTTGATAATATATTTCAAAATGATTTTAATGGATATTAATCTTATTAATATAAATCTTTAGAAGAAAAAAATGAGGTTGAAAAAAACTTACACTTACCAAAAAAAATCACAATAATAATTAAATTTAAAGATAAAAAATTTAATCATTATATTAACTAAGTTAAACACTATTTTACAAATTAAAAATTATTGATATTTTAAATTGTTTTATTATAAACAAAAAATATAAATAATTTATGAATTAGTGTCTCAATTGATCTCTAAATTTTATTAATTTATTATAAATAATTATAAATTAATCTAAAATCTAATTTATAAATAAATTCAAATTTGAGATGAAGTCTAGTTATTTAAAGAAGCAAGTTTTATACTCTTCTTCATGTACTTAATCTTTTGTAAATAGATTAATCCAGTCAGTGTCCACTTTAGCAAAATTTTTGTTGTAAGTTTCATCTTTTAATTACTATCAATTAGAAAAGTTATTGCATAAAAAATAATTTAAATGGTGATCACTATGTTTTAACACCAATAGTAGGGATGGCAAAAAAAACCGCGCCCGCGGATATCCGCGGATAAAATCCGCGACGGATAGTTGGTACCCGCGGATATTTACTACCCGCGGGTTGCGGGTAGCGGGTTTTTTAATACCCGCTTATAAACGGGTCGGGTGTGGGTATTATACTATCCGTACCTGCGGATATCCGCTACCCGCAAAAAATAAAAACAAAAATTTAATTTATATTTTATTACGTTAAATTTAATTAAAATTAACATTAATTTATATTTTATAAAGTTAAATATAATTAAAATTAAATTTTAATTTATATTTAATTTAATATATATTATATATTATATATTTTTTGTAATTTTCTTTAAATTTTATTATAATATTTTATAAAAATATATTTTTTTAAATATTTGTGGGGTATCCGCGGGTATCCACGGATATCCGCGAGTTTTAAAATATCCGCGGATATTTTTTAAGCGGATATCCGTGCGGGTAGCGGGTCGGATAGCGGGTGGATTTTTTTTTGTCGGGTCGGATTGCGGGTAGGCACTATCCGTGCCCGACCCGACCCGTTGCCATCCCTAACCAATAGTATTAGTTTATTGAGTCAATGTACGAGAGAGAGAGAGTATGTGCTTAATTCACGAGTAATTGCAAACTTTCTTCCACTTCTATCCATGAATTGTTTACTAGTATTACATAACTTGGGAGTTGTGGATCTAATATTTTGAAATGATTGATGGAATAGAAAAAAAGTCATAGAAGGAAAAATTAGAGTTAAACCTATTTAATATATCGAGTTCATATGTAACAACATGAATCATAGTCGACTCACTTAAAATATGCATTGTTTTGCAGACTGATTTGACCATGGATATAAATTTGAGCAACACGAAAGCATGCATTTGACGTTTGGCTATCATCATTGTGTACAATGAACACATAAAACCTGCTGATACAATGTGTGATCATAAAATAATTGTGAGCTAAAAGGACCCATTATATATATTTACCATAGAATGCGATATGAACTAGGCTACGCATGTAATATCATAAAAACCATGGAATTGTTTTCAGAGGTAATGGGTAAAAAAATGGTGAGACAAAAGTATATGATAGTTAAAAAAGGATTAAAACCTGGGTTAGAAGTTGTTTAGTTGTGGCTAAAAGTGGCTTTCTCTTGGATTTGTCTCCTCATATAAACACAAGGCATGCTATCAAACCCTAGATTTGATGTGCATTATTTAATATGCCACAATCATGAATCACATATGTCTACGATCTCCTTATGCACTACTTTGGGTCATTAGTGATTCGTAGCCATCTTCGTTTGACCAATCAATTGTGGGACTCGAGTCCGGAGAAGCAAAATCCATTAACTAAATCACATATTAAATTGTGGTATTTGGAGCAATTACTTTCCACTCACTCACTCATTCTAGGGTGGCTAAATGTATAATAATAAAAGACCCCATAAACAACACATTAATTTGGCTTGTTTTAATTATTGAGTGGAGTCATTTGAATGCAAGAATTCTTCAATGATTGCCACTCTTTCATGGGTTTTGAGTCGAATCTTGGAGGACCCCCATCCTTGGTTTTGGGAATAAGTTTATGAAATTTCTTAATCAGCATAAATAAACCATAAAATGATTTAGTGATGCTAATCATCCATCCACCGAGTTTGTTTAATGTATAATCTATTCCTTGATTGATTACCGAATAATAGCTGACATTTGTTGATTGGTGAGTTAAGGTTGGGCAAATCTCCACAAACATATGCCAAAAAAGTAAAAGGAAAGGGAGAATGGTTGGTGACACATGCCAGAAACGCAAACGAAGTTTTTCTGACTCGTGAACCCAAACGGAGAAAGTTAACGGAAACATTAAAAAGTAACCACTTTTATGTAACAAAAATAACCTTATTCATTTCTTGGATGTGGTACACGCAGTGTCTTGGATTGAAAAAATAAAATGAAACTAGTGCCAAAGTGGGGTCACACTATATATTGACCAATTAAGTTGGTTCCTGCAGATTCAAAGTGTATTTCGTAGCACCCACGAGAAATAAAAAAACCAGAACAGTACAAAATATTTTCAATAAAATATAACTTACCACCTGAATCCTGACAACTACTACTAAAATATTAAATACCATTACATCATACACACCATATTTTGTTGTAAATATAGATAGTATCACCAGATCGTTTTTATCGTCAAAGATTAATGAATTTGCAAACAGATGGAAGAAGAGACTCTCGAACCTTTTCAAGTTTGATTCCTTCGTTGCTTATTTATTTATTTGTTACGTCTTTTAAATTCAGTGCTGTGACTTCTGAGGTTTGATGATGGGCATCGCGAGTTGCATTAAACAATAGGCCCATGTTTGTGTCAACCCTTTCTTACGTTACCACACCATATATATTTATTTTACAAAAATACCTTCGATAAAAAATCATTTCCATTTAATATATCGTTAGAATCATGTCAATAGAAACTTTTGGCTCTAGTCGGTCAGATGTACAACGAAAACCTCTTAATGAAAATATTTTTCCTCATCACAAAGCGGAAAAGAATATCCGGTAGTCAAAATTTTCTTAGCGTACCTCATAAACGCAAATGCCCACCACCTCCACAGGAATTCACCACCATCGCTGCAGCAAAACCCCACACTTCTATTGTCCCATCGTTATATATTATTCAAATAAAAGAAATAAGGGCAGGAAAGGAACTAAAATTAGTGATGGGGTGCAGGAAGCAAAAGAAGCAAAAGCGTAGCCTTATTGCTGTAACACGATATCAAGCCCAACTACAATCTTGTAATCATAGTTGTTTATAATTTTGGTTAACTACTTTTATATTAAAAATTTGAACCAAACTGACAAAATTTAAAGCTAATATATAGTTTTATATTAAAAAAAATTATTCACGAATTTATTCACCCAGTTTTCTTCACCCGCTCATGCAAATATCTCGTACAAGTACATTATTGCAGCATAATTTTTTGTCCACCTTTCAATTTCTGAGCACATCAGCATTCTATGTTCCGATCTTCAGGCCATCCAAACTCCTCCAAGAATGCCAACACAACACCATTTGACCACCCAAAACCAGTCTGCATTGCAAAACAACCCAATCAGATTGATGTGGAACACGAAGATGGTAGAGACGTCATTTACTTGTTTTCTCTCTGAAATAAGTCATATAACAAGTCCGTACAGAAAATTTCTAACATTCAGTCTAAAATAACATCCATACTGAAAATGTCACTAGTCAAATTTCTTCCAGTCAACCAAGTCAGATTATATTTTTCTCAAACGTTTCCCTTGACGAAAAACATAATTGTAAATAGTAATACCTGGGGCACGTATTCGCCTCCACCTCCAAATTCTCCACAATGCTCAACGTCAAGTTTTTCATGCATTAAGCCCGTTTTCTTGTAAACGATATAATTGCTTGTGACCCATCTGGTGGCAATTTCTTCAGCCAATGACCTTGCTTCTTGCGACCCAGATTTTAGAAGGCCTTCCACTAGCATGTGTTGAAGCGGCGCCCAACCATTTGGAAAGTCCCTATTGCAAGTATGTAAGGATCATTGATAAGTGAAACATTTTACCTGTCTTACCCAGTCTCACCCTGCTTATATTACTTACCACTGTTGTCCTGAATCAGTCAAAGAAGTTGCAACTCCAGCGGCACGGACAAGGTTGGAAGTTTTGAGACTTTCAACGACACTAGCCACAAGTGAAGTGTCTTGATAAACATTAAAACATATTTAGTAATCAACTTAAAATGCAGGAAAATGTTTTTTCTTCTATGTTTCACAAAGGTAAACTCATCATAGTGATCAATATCACCCAAGTTCAAAACAATTTAGCCATTGCCTGGTGGTGCTAAAGTTTTATATTCAGCAAAAACAGATTTGAATTAACATGACACCAATGAAAATAAACTGTCACTGCTTAACAGACTTTTAGCAATATTTCATAAAATCACATGCTAATCAACCTCTTTAGAAATCTAGCCACATGTTCAGAGATCAACTATTCAATGTAAGCACTTAGAAATCTACGTTACTTTAAAATTTGGCATTTGGCACCAGTAGGGCCACTTATTAACCTATAATTGGACAGCATAACTGATGAGATAGAAGTCTATAACGGTGTAATTGTCCACACTTCCGAAAATGATCTTAAGAGCCTAGTTCTTCGTGAATAAATGTGTTCAAGGTAACCTCGTGTGAATGAAGTTCAAGCTTGATGATTTACAATAAGGATTGAACCCCAATACTTAACTGATACCACAATGATCGCGATAACTGCTTACGTACTTAAATTTTCTCATTACTCGTTAGTAAAGTTGATATGTTAACACATTAAGCATACCTGAATAAAATGGTTTCATCCACAAAGGAACAAAATTGGAAGCAAATACATTTTTATTCTGGCGCCCGTTTTTCCAAACATGAACCTCCTAAAAGTATCAAATGTACAGTCAGAAGAACCCTCATCTACTGGTAGATTAATACATGTGGTTCCAGGAAATACCTCACATGTATTTTCGAGCCAGTAGTCAAGCCATTGTTTCATGTTTGCATTCCAGAAAACAGAGTCCATTGCCTTCTTTCTAAGATCAGCATTTTCCAGGAACCGTTCAGCAGTGCCATTATCTCCAACAACTTTTGCAAAGAAGGCAATATTAAGTTCCATCTGAACCAATGGGCATTACAGAATTGATAAGGTTGCAGAGAGACACTTATTTCAGGTCTTCTTTTAGATATTAGTATAAGACTTACCCCGAGTATAAATGCATTTAAATCAACAGGTATTACGGAAGTTGTAGCCAATGTTGTGAAATTAGGCGGGTTTCTGCATTAATAGGAACAAGATTGTACTGAACTGTAAGTACTCCTGACTCTTAAACAAGGAAACATGTTAGACCTAAGTCGATGTGTGTTTTTCTGAAAAAGCTAAACATTTGGTTGAAAGTGTGTTGCTTAGGCTTGCCCCTAATGAACATTGTGAGTTACTTTATGAGCATCTGAATACCTAGACATTTATTCAGATGATTTTCATATTTTTTTTCCCTTTTAGGAGGTCTTAGCGTATGTAAAATCTTACCTCATCCATCTAGTGCTGAAATCCCATCCTGATTCAGCAGCTGAAGCCAGGTCACGGTAAAACTGCTGTTTTTCTGAAACACTCGAGAAGTTGGAAGCAAATACCTGGTCCTATGGCATGAATTAGCCAAAGTTATAGTTTAAGTCCCATCTCAATAATACCACAGTTGTTAACAAACCAAACACACCTTAATGGATGATTCTGGCCTGGGTTTGTCCCACATTGCATTATAGCGATTTAAGGTGTGAGTGCAACCTTGAGCATCCAAAATGGTCACCTTGTGTATATCTACAAGATGAAGCAAAAGGTAAACCTACCAAAAAATAGAAGGAACACTACAAATATTACCCAACCGCAGACAATAGTGATCGAGGCAAAAAGTAGTAGCGTAATTAATACCTGAATTCCAAAATTCATACTCTTTGATTAGTGC